CCAAGTAGCTGGGACTACAGGTGCCCGCCACAACGCCCGGCTATTATTTGTTGTTATTGTTGTCATTGTTTAGCAGGCCCTGGCTGGGTTCGAACCCACCAGCCCCTGTGCATGGGGCTGGCACCCTAACACTGAGCTACGGGCACCGAGCCAGTCATCATCTCTTTTTATGAGCTGCTTTCTCCTGAGAATAAGAGCGGCTGCCAGCTGCCACCCCACTAGAGAAAGGCTGTGCCCCAATTCCCAGCAACAAGGTCCCAGGGAGCAAGCTCCGGCCAGGAGTATGTGTCAGGACCAGGTGGGTGGAGTCAGGCATCCTGCTGATGAAAGGCAGCTTCTACAGTTGCCAAGCAGATGGTGTCACAGCCTTGTACCTTCATGCCTCGGGTAAAACGGTCTCAGGGAGACAAATAGTAATAACCACAGCCAGGGTTATCCGTGCTCACCTTAGCGAGGATTGGAGACTTTTGCTGTGGATAATCTCATTTAATCCTAATACAGTCGTGCCAGGAAGGCACTATTATTATTATTCCTGCCATCTGGCAAAGGAGGAAATCAAAGCACATGGAGGTCATGGAAATCACCCCCGGGTAGAAGGGAACAAACTGGGGACGGAGCTCTTGCGGGCCACTCAGGCAGAGCTCTCACTGTAACTACTGCGACTTAGGAAGAACTCAGTGCCTGCAGGGGTCCAGAGCTGATTTACACAGGAAGGACTCAGAGCTGCACAAAGGCAGACCCAAATCCCTGAGCTTGGAACGTGGAGAAAAGGTGCCACACCTCCAGGGTGCCCGGGACCCTTTCCAGCTACACCTCTGGTCCTGGCATCATGTTGATCTGTGTCCCTTTTCACTCCCCAAGGTGTCTTGGTCTAGTGTGGTCACCTTAATTCTAGGAAGGATGTTATAAACAGTAAACAAAGCAATTAAAATGGTGTACGTAGGATGGTGAATGGGAATCAGTGCTAAGGAGAGAAACATATAGCCCGAAGTTAGGGAGGGAATTCTGACTCAGTAAGGGGGAAAAAAAGATCATGATAAATGTGGGGGGGAAAGTTCCAGGATTTGGGGATGAAAAAAAAGCACCTTACAGCTTTAAATTTTATGTACTGTTAGTATATTTCAGTGTGGAATTGGGTTTAGGGTAGGTGTTGTTAGGATGTTCTCTTTATTAGACGGAAGGGGGAAATGTGTGTGTGGGGGGGAATGCAGCATTAAATGTTTAAGCGATGGTTACAATGAACCTTTCTGTGTGGCGGGAAATGGGCAGCCTGGGTGTACATGGACCAGTATGGAAGAGGGAGAGGCAAGATTATTTTCTAAACTGTTTCATCAGCAGGAAGTGGCGGGTGGGGGGAAGGTTGAGGCACACACCCTGACCTGTGGTCTCCTATATCACATTATATATTTATCCCAAAGGCAGAACAGCAGGTGAAATATTTACCCCTCCAGCTGCAAAGCAAATACACCTTGTGTAAGCATAAGACACCAGAACAAGAGCCGGCTGCTGAGTTAACAGCTGTGACACGGAGGTCACAAGATCCACG